ACATCCTACAGTATTTTTACAGTCTTTATCTTACAGTTAAAATATATGTTTATCAACTAAAATCTAATGTTACAACTAATCGGGGATCTCTTTAAATGTACTTTATGGAAACAGTCAAATGAAATCAAAAATAAAAGGTTTCTGCTTTCCACGTTTGCAGATTTTTATTTCCAAAGGATTTTGGTGAAACTTCATGTTTTTTCCAACCAGCTGACAGAGTGAGGATCAGATTATCTGCAGTCCAACAAGGGTTCGGGATTAACCCTATGTTCCTTTATGAATAAAATAAAAAGGTTTATGAAATTTAAAAATCATTGCATGCTGTTTCCCTTTAATGATTTTATACGAGGTCTCAATTTCTCCAGGATTAGGGCTGTTAGTGAGAGGAAAATATAATAAATTAAAAATCATCCCACATGAATGTAAACCCAAACAGCTCAAAGAACCATGATCAGTTTTATTTCAAATGTTACAGAAACACTGAATTACAACACATTCAGTCTGATGGTGAGTAAATAAGATAATTCTTCCTGTGATGCTCTGAGCACCGAGGTGCTTTAAGAGAAAACAGGTAGATAAAGACTTAAAGGATTATAACAAACCAATCACTGAATGTGACAGTCAACATATTTACACAACTTAAACTTTCTGAGAATATGACAACTGCAAACAGAGCATGTTCTCACAGAAAGATGTGAAAGTTCATGTAGGTCACATCCTGAAGGTGCACAGTTCCAGTACAGTTCCAGTACAGTTCCAGTTCAGCACTCTGTTTGCTTCTTCAACACAGTCAGGAAATTAAGCCACAGGCCTATACTCTTTGTACCACATTGTTGTTGTTTGTTTTTTGAAGGGGATTGTGTGGGGGCATAGAGCATGTACGTTCAGAAAAAGCAAACCACGATGTGCAGATGTGAAAATGTTTGTGAGTGGATACTGAGGGAGGAGATCTCACCAGTAACATGGAACAACCTCATCCTGTCACCTTGTGGGGTGGGCGTCAGTGAGGTGGTGATGAAGGAGGTGGGGGAGGGGGAGGTGGAGGGGGGAATGGAAAACTGGAGAAAGGAACAGAGTTGGGAGGCCAGAGAGGATAGGAGAATGCTGGGTTGAAGAAAGATGGAGGAAGAGGAGGAGGAGGAGAGGAGTAGGGAGGGAAGCAGGGGGGAGGATGGGGAGGATATGGGCAGGAGGTTTGGAGGAACGTGGGATACACAGCGTGTCCAGGCGGGGGGTACGAGTCAGTGTATGAACAATGTAAGTTTCTTGGGTCCTGACGCTGGACTCGAGACCCTGAATGCTTCTGTGGGAAACCTTGTTTGTTGTTGCTCTGCTGCTTCAGAGCTTTCTGACCAACACAAACAGAGTTACCTGAAAAAAAACAAACAAATGCAAACAAGTCTTACTGTACAGTTCCACACGGTTTGCTCCGTTGGTTAGCATGAAGCCTAACATATTATATATACTTTATCTCCATCCATCCATTACCTTTATATACAGCAGGTAAAATAAGTATTGAACACGTCACCATTTTTCTCAGTAAATATATTACTAGAGGTGCTAATGACATGAAATTNCCTGTCCAGGGTGTCCCTGTCTGTCACACAGTGACTCCTGGACATGGGCACCAGTTCCAGACATGGGACGGAGAAATGCATAATAGAAAATTGATGAATTTATTTTATTTAAAATCCTGCTGCAACTGGAGCTCATGTCCATCTGCCACTGTTCCACAAAGTGTAATGTTTTAGTTACATTACAACACATGAACCATTCTCTCCTCTCCTGATTGTGTTGTTGAACAGGCAAAGTGGTTTAGGTTACACCTCATGTCTTGGTCGGATTGGAAGTTCCCTGGCTCCAATGGTCATGCTGCTGGAGGACGTCTGGACTCTTCTTCCCCCCATGGTCTTTGCTGGGACAGGGATTGTCAGTGGCAGCTTGGTTTTTCTGCTTCCAGAGACACTCAACATCCGACTGCCTGAAAACATCTTGGATGTTGAGGAGGAAAGGTACAGAGAAAGGATCACAGATATGCCATCAGTCTTACAGACCAGGGGTAGATCATCAGAAACCAATCCAAGGTTCCACACAGAATGAAAAAACATGGGCACAAACCTTTGCCTCTATAATATATGTCAACTTTTTAAAAACTTGAGATTGAGATAAAAATCATATTAGGTTTTATAAAAGTGTGTATTATTTATTCACGAACCATTGACTGCTCTGTAAAAATATTTTGATGGACATTTCCACAGCTTGTTCTTCCTCACTCTATTGAGTGAACTTTAGCACAAACAGTCTGCTGCTTTCAACATGTCTCTTCTTGTTCCACTAACTTTGCAGTTATATAGCTTTTTGCTGTACTCTACAGTGAACTGATGTTTGGAGAAAAATAGCTGCTTACATTCTGTGCAGTTCTTTCAAAAGAAACTCTCTCTCTTCTTTGTTTTTCTGCAGACACATGAAGAGTGATGAACAGATTGAGCTGAAACCAGTGACCTGTAACAACATGAGCTGACTGCAACAAGCTGGGGACATTTTCCCAATAATCCTTGATAATTAAAACGTGATTTTTGTGGTTGCCTGTGGGAATTCTGCAGTCTTTGATTTGTTGCTCTTTGATTTGCATTTAGACTCCATCCACACAGAAATTATTTTGTTTTAACCTTGCGTGTTTAAATGGTATTTTTAAAAGTGAAAAAATCTCGAGATACCGCTCTTACCGCTCTTGTGTTTTATATAGACAACCTGAACACAACTGAGGTGAAAATAACCACGTCTTCTTGGTAGAAGTGGAACTGCTGCTGCTCAATGAAGAGAGGAACTCTGAAACAGGCTGGTTGAACAGCAAGAATCTTTATTTTGCAGTCCAGGAGATTACAGCCAAAAACCAAATTGTGGCCTTCAATGCCAAATGATTCACCAAGTAAGAAAGATGGAGAACGAAGGCCAAGAGCAGGG